AAGTATTTTTGCCTTTTTAAAGCTTAGACGTATGCGTTGGATTGGACATATGATACGTATGGACGATGGGAGAATCCCAAAAGACATTCTCTACGGAGAGCTCATCGAGGGAAAACGTCCAATTGGCAGACCAAAGCTACGATTCAAAGATATTTGCAAGCGTGACTTAAAATCACTCCGCATCGACCTAGACAAATGGGAATCCATCGCTGCAGATCGAACATGCTGAAAGCACTCAGTGAACGAGGCCATCTCGCACTTCGAGACTTCTCTCAGACAGCARCGTGATGAGAAAAGACTGCAAAGAAAACACCGCAGCAAGATAACTCAACCATCTTCATCTAACTTCATCTGCCCCAAATGTCAAAAGGACTGCCATGCCTTCGTTGGCCTAACAAGCCATACGAAACACTGTTTCTAGTGTACAGCCAAAGTCATTCGTGACTGATGGATGCCTACTACCTAGTCCCCTTCATGGTTATGTGCGCCATCTTGAAAGGTAGCCGTGCCTTTACATSGAAGCGAGAAACCGGTGAGCGTGCAATGATAGATACCTGTGAATAAATTGCCTGTAGGAGTGAAAGAAGGTTTCTATCATTGCACGCTCAACGGTCGTCTCGCTTCGATGCAAAGGYACGGCTAACTTTCAAGATTGCGCAAAGAAATGTGAAGAAGACTATTGGATCACAAGCTGGCTATGATGCGTTTATGATATCCATTCAGCTTGTTGTAATGCGATCTCGCAAACACGAATAAGAAAACAAAACTTTTGCATCACAAAAACCATTTCGACATGAAGAGTTCCTGTTTTTTGAAAGCGCAAAAGGACTGACGAGCCATTTCAATGTTGGGCAGGGTCAATGCAGATAAACACTGATTTGAATGAGTCTTGTGGGAGAGCGCCAATAATCATGCTTTTCTGAAACTCAAGCATAATAAGTACGATTTTTTGAAAAAAACATCTTCCCTAAAAGCAGCCATGCAAATTTAAATCTCTATAGCATTGTAATATATGCGATTATCGCGGGCCAATATATGATCAGTTTATGGAGAATCATTTTCAACATCTCGGTCTAATGGTCTTAATCGCAATGTCGTCATTCATTTAGTTTTTGATATTTTTTTCCATTTCTTGTCTTTTTGTCGATGAGCCAACTTTGCAATTCAATTCTTTTTGCAAAACACTTTATCTGACATCAATCAATCAGTTTTTCGCTCCCATTAAAACATTGTCAAGCTCTTCCGCTTTGGCTCTATAATGCGTTTTCTGATCTGTCGATATTATTGGGTATCTACCTAATTGGAAAAACGTAGTCGTGTTCCAGGATTACACAATGACTAAACTAAAATGGAGCATTGTAATGTTTTTCTTAATTTTCTCATGTTYATTTTCTTTTGAATAATTCAATTAAATGACTGTATTTTCTTTCCTTTTTGATCAAGACATGTTGTATTTAAATTCAAAACTCAGAGTTTATTTGATTTTTACTGCTTGACTCGTGCTTTTCATAATCGCCTCTCCATTTGCATATAATGTGATTTCTATTTTTATTTCATTTATTGACATTTATTAGCCTGCGTTCAGATTCTACGAGCAGAAAACTGTGGTCTGTTCGCAGTATATCCTTACTAGACACAAAGCTTATTCTCGCCATATCARTTAGAATCAACCTTTCATCATTTTGCATTCAGCTTTCTGATGTCACTTAGTTTTTTGTATTGCTTGCGACTTCAAATTATMAGCCATATTTACAATTACATTTAATTATCTGTCAATTATCTGTCATGAATTATTTAAAATGGCTTTTACGCTTTCATTGTTTCATTTGTCCTATTTTTTTATTCATATTTTTTTCTTTCTTAAAGAAAGAAATGAAAGTGTAAAATGTATTTTTGAAGCAATTAAAATTACATACTCTGTCGATATATTCAAAACATTTATGTCATCATTTATCTACTATTCGTATTCAATATTTCACTTTTTTGCCGATATATAATTTACCGTCAGTAATTATATTTCTTCTATTGTAACTTTAGACTACCCATCGTCTTTCAAATGACAACAATTTCACTCATTCAACGTGATCTACTAGTCATAAATCAATTACAATTTCCATTTTTTCATCAATCTTTTCATGTTATTCTTTTTCCCTGTGTTTACTCTTTCTCAATCTCTCTCCATTTTAACTAATGAACAAATTTGTCAACTCTATTAATATCTATTACAATCTTTCTTCTTATCTTAATAACATTTAATTTCTGCATTCAATTTTTTTCTTTTCTTTTCAGTTTTCTTTTTTGTCGTTTTGCTTGGCTCTGTCATAATCCCACTAGCRTTTTGTACCTCAAAACCCACAATCAATCCACGCRTCCATTAAAGAACAATTCRTGCGCAAACAGCAATCTTAATTTATCGACATAGATTACACAAGATCTGTACAGAAAAAATACTGATTACAGCTTCTACCTACACAAATTGATCCAGTAAAGTGATATCTCTATTGATCCACCATTTGCCAAATGTCAGATTCGCTGATAATTAAGCTTAAAGCAGATGTTTTGATATGAAGTTTGGGGTGTTTATTTTTCGGAGAGACTACAGTATGTACTGTTCGGTGAGATGAAATTTTAGCTAGTAAATCCTTTTACTAAATTATCGTGGTAGTGGACTAAAAGATATTATAGAGAAGCGGAGACCATATTCATGATTCGAAAGTGGGCAGGCAAGTATTAATTGTACTATAGATTTTTTTTCAGTATTGCTTCCTTATTTTCTTGGACTCCCAATTTTAGCATGTTGTCAGCTTTCAATGAAAGAAAATTGTCTAGACATCAAATGTTTATATTTGTACTGATAAAATTAACTTAACCCTAAAAATGAAACCAGTTTGGTCTTCTATAATCCAATAACATATATTGATTGAGATATTTGATTATAGCATTATGTTAAGCTGATTTCGTAAATAGACGGTATAATGAGGCAGTAGTGACAGCAATAACAGTAATCCTTTAATTGCAAATCCGATTAAGAAACAATACTTTTATGTCGAGCCTGGTATGATTCTTCATTCCATCTTTCCAAGCGGCCTCGATTAGAAACTATAGATTCTTGATTTGCCATGACAATAGCCGACTTTCGATATTTTTGTACAAAATTCTTTTGTTTCACCTGAGCCTCGTCCTCAATTCTTTTGTGCAAATTCGACATATCCAAGTAGGGAACTGGGTTCAAATTTCAAGACATACAAGACAGACCCGCTTGTTTTTGAATAAAGAGAACACCCAAAAGACCGAAACACTGGGAATCTCCATACTACGTAAACTGATTTTAGAAATTGTATTTTGCAAACAATTTTTTCGCATTTACAAAAAGTCTACATTGAGTACGAGGAATAATTTACAAATGATTTAGAAAGTCTTTGGAATTTACATAGTATGTAAAAGTACCTTGGTCCTGTAAAATCAATTTTTTTCTGTTTACAAACAATTTACACATGATTTACACAGTATGTAAAAGTCCGAGGTTTTCCAGTGAAACCCTACAATCTTGGACGAAAAAGTGTAAAAATAAAATCGCGAATATTTCGAAGTTTGAGCAGAATTCTAATACTTGCTTGCCTTCTCCCAGGCGATCTCGTCTCTCATAGTTGTTTGTTTAGAGATCTCACATACTTGTTGAATACTCTTTTGGTGCCAACCTCATGATTTGGGGAAGTGGAGGAGGTGGAACAAGCGTTCTGTTAAGCTTTACTGAATTTTATCTTTCTTTTTATCCAAGATATAAACATCTTTATTTATTTTTTTATTGTTTTATTTTTTTATTTTTGCATTTTATGCAACTTTGCTCGCAGCCTAACAGCAGGACACCGTGGCCCGGGAAGATCGTGAAAAACCGGACCGCGYGCTAGCCAATCACAGCGCGCGAATGAGGCCGCTCCGAGGCAGTTTTGGCCAGAGACTGGTGATAGGTTTTGCTCGGGTGACCATTGAGGAACTTCCAATGAATCTTTTGGAGCACAAAACATCAATACTTTTCTGAATAACTAAGCCATTTACAGCAAATCTAAGAGTTTTCTGCGGCAGAGTGAATGCTTCTATGATAATTTCAAAATRTTTTTACATGTTTATCTATTAATTTCTACTATTGAGGATTACATATTGCCCATTTTGTTTTGATTTTGTTTTTTTTTCCATTTTTAATTGAAGATTTTAATGCTACAATCCGGTCAAAACTAGTTGAGGCATTTCATTTTAAGACTCTAAAATTAATGAATTTTGCCTATGTTGCTTTGAAATGCCTACAATAATCAAGTTTCGAATTCTCCATTGCTCTGTGTTAGCCTCATCTGTGCGCAAAATATTCCTATTTGCGAGAATAAAAGTGTGAGATTTCAAATCAATTCTATTGTCTTTCTTGTCAAATTCCATGCGTTTTCTCGGGCTATCATTGAAACAAAAGAATATGTTACTTGGTTTTGAGGCTAACACAGAGCAAACCAGAACTCGAAATCGGAGTATTCCCTCCACCCCGCTCCCCTCATTRCAAACTTGAATGAATGTAGTTTGTGAAAGACCACAAATGATAATTCACAACTCACAATATTGATTTAGGGGGGGAGGGGGATTTAAATTATTTTTTCTCTCAGTAGTAAGTATATAAAAACACCATTTTCATGAATTTATCTCAACCCTTTTGACCAGGATTGTAGAATATCAATATATTCTCGTCGCTTGCATCTTATGTTTCCAAATTAGACTTGTATACATACAGCTCGTTCAAGAAAGGTTGTCGTTGTTGTTGGTGAGGAAAGGMGTTTGCACGGCCGAAAGTCCCTATGGGCATTTTAATTTTAATGTCAAATATTTTTTGCATTCAATGAATGATTGCTATCACTCGCATTCTCCAATCGTTTTGTCAACATTTTCTATGGCATCGAAAGCTTGTCAAAACAAAAGGAGTCGTGACTGTTTATTTGGAGAAATCAAAGGGGAAAATTTAGTGCAGTTTCCGTTGATACGTCAATACGAAAACTTGAAAATAAAAATATTGATTAAAAACCCTTGGAACTGATTTGGTAAGAAATTGTAAAAAAGGGATTAGATAACAAAAATAGTGCTTGGAAGAACTGCTGGGAAAAATTAAAGGAMGAACTTTGTCATGAAATCATCGACAAAACCGAAGAGATCGATTATATACGAACCTTTTCCTAGTTTAAAAAGCCAAAGAATTCGAAAATGTACCAAAATTCTGTGAAAGTAGCCCAGAAATTGTTTGAAATGCTAAAAAAGCTTGTAAATGTGAGAATTTGTAGATTCCAATAGGTATTTAAAAGTACAAACAAAAAAGAAAAGAGAAATTAGCTGCGATAAGAAATTTTTGTCCTACAAACCAGTTTAAAGATCCTATGAACAAAGAAAGAATCGGAAAGCACCTGTTGTCTATTTCACCAAAATGCTAATTTTCTCGAAGTTTACGTTAACTACATCATCCAAAAACCTGACAAATATGTCATTTTTAAAAGCTAAAACATCATTTACATGTAGTTAATAGACTTCCTGTCAGACTTTTCCCCCGCCTGTATCGCTGAAAAACAAGGTAAAACCTKCTTGCTCAACTACGCGTGTGATAGCACCGACTCAACACAGTTGTTATGGCAACATATCACTTGGATACACCTTCACTTCCTGAACGACTTCGAATTATATGTATATTCATTATTACGTTTTTACGCGTCGCTGTTTGCCGTCTCAGAGATCTTCAGCGTCGTTGGCCTTGAGAAGTTATTTCGAAAAATATATATCGCAGCTTCGAAGCTGCTCTCGAAAATGTGGCAGACTCGATATGAAGGTAAGAGACGAGGCGTCACAACAAGGATTTTTTCCCCAAGTTGAGAGCKTTAGAAGATTTAGAATCGATTATTGCGTATGACCCTAGAGTTATAGTTATCGAAAAACTGCTCTTTTTGCCTGCATGACGTATCGTTTCAGTCCTTCTTGATCTTGAAATTGTGATTTTTCCTAATATACAATCCTTAAAAATGGATTTGGATTTGGTATATTTTGTACTAGAATTTAAAGAGAGCATTTTAAGGTGACYTAAGAGCTATACTTAGCTTGTGGGTGGATAACTACAGTATATCACGGTCTGGTRGTAACTAGAGTTTGTATGTATTTGTCATCGCTATATATATATCACAACACAGTGTTTGTGCTGTGCACATAATTTGAATGTTGTATTGTTCAAATTTTCGTGATTTTGTGTTTGAATATGTTTCGAGCCGTAAGACGATTGCATTGGTTCGCTTTGGTTAGAGATTGTCTTCTGTAATGTCAATTTATATTCTTTGCGAATAGAATTATGGAATTGGTTTCGTGCGATGGAATCATTTTCGTTTCTARAATTCGTTTAGTCTAAGGATACGACTGAGTATTTTGTGGCAACTTTGACGTTTGGTGCGTTTTCCATTTTAATCTCCTTTTTTACATTTCTTTTGAAAGTATTATTTTTTGTTTATGGTATAAACTACCTCCCATTTCTGTGAAAATTCGTACACAATTTCTTGAGAATGAATTCTTGTTCGTATCACAAAGGACTATACACTAAATTAATAAGCTGAAATGTTGTGTGCATAATGCTTTAGTATATTTATTCAAGCGAGAATGAAAAAAAATTATATCATTGTTTACAATTTTCAATGTATTTTTAAGGGATATTTTCATTTGAACACGTTTTTTTAAGCTAGATGAATATTGAGATATCATTGAGGTGAATGTATAATTATTTTTGCATTTCTTCGTAATTTCGGTTCATCACTTAATATTTTTGAGGATGATGGCTCAATTTGGTTTTGATAATTTTTTCTTAGCTTTTTGTAATATGTCTATAATTGCGTATAATTCGTTTCATCAGCAAAGCAATCCACATTTCGTTGTAAAATTACAATATTTTGGGACATAAATCAAGTCTTTTGTTTTCTTTGCCTCTTTTTTGCTTGCGACTATCGCCATCTTTATGATAAAAATGAGCAATACATCCACTAACATATGATATATAATTTCCATAAACTCAATATTTGTAAAGTCAAAAACACGGAATATGAATATGTATTTATATGATATTTGGATACGATTTGTCGGTTTTAATATTAATAGTGTCTTTTCTGAGTGTCATTTGATTGTCATTTGTCGCCATGAAGATGAATCGCCTTAGCATTGATCATCCATCCAAACAGCAGTAAACATCTGTTTAGCACTGGCTTTGAGAGACAAAACGGCCGCATGTGGCGCCGGCTCTCATTTTTCATGTAATCAGTACATATAAGCGCAAAGAAGAATAGGTTTTTCTAAAGAATAACACAAGTAGAATAAAGAGTTTGYTTAATTTGTCGAGCCCCACGACATCCAGTCAATCACATTAACGTTCAGTTGCAAAGACATAAMGACAACAAAAAGTCAATTGCATATACCAAACCTTATTACCCGTTCAAAGTCAGATTTTTTCTGGCATCTTTTCCAGTAGTATGGCTGCATTCGCATTTTCAATTTATTCTCCTACTACTGACGGACACGCATATCAAACCTTTAATGTTTTGCAAAACGCCATTCGAATGTCAACAAAATTGTACACAATGTTCAAATTTAAGATTCTTCTGTGTAGATATTATATTGTTGAAACCGAATGTTCGGCCTAAAAGGCAATTTATCTGGAATTTACATTGGAAAACGTCCTGGGGATATTAAAAATATTTAAATCAAATTATTTGGTTTMTGTCTTTATGTCTTTACAACTGAACAACGTTAATGGATTGACCGTATGCAGAACTAGTCAATGCAAATGACATATGATTATGTAATTCGCGACTTTTAAAAATGGTGCGATACGTCACGGTGTCGCCAACCAGGGCACTGCATGGAGGCGAAGCACAATAACGATGTCTCAAAGGCCAGCCTCCGTATAGTAAACTTCCATGGTGTTTTGCAAGAGTGTTTTGTTATAAATAACATACCAAATCTTTCAAACTTTGACACTGCCACACATGCGATCTTCGTGGTGTTTTTTTTTAGATGTAAGACCTTGGAGGTTTCTATGATTCGTCACTAGTCCCCCGATATTAACGGTCGTGAACTACCGCCATTTTTGAAAGTCGTGTATGTATCAGTAGTTTATAATGAGTTCTGCACGTGATTCCGTATGCAGCTCTTTAGGTAAGCTCATAAAATCCCGTGTTTTACGGTGTGAAACATGCCTCAAAGCAGTAGTTCACATTGAAAAATGTTGTTGAAATTAAGAGTTGGAAAAGCCAGGAAAACACGTGGAGCTCAAAAATTATCTAATGCTGGCAAGAGCCGTTTTTCTTTACAACCAGCCCCAGTCTTTACAGCAATAAATAAATATAGGCACCCCATCCTTAATTTTAATGAAAATACTCCTTGGTTGGTGTGTTGATGTTATTATGCACCCCTTAAAGGGACACTGTCAATGGCACGCATGCGCGAGTAAACTTGAAAACATTAGGCTAATGTTTTCAAGTTTATGACTCCAAGTTGGCGCGACATAAATCAGCTCGTAAACGTAAATATTCCAAAGTGTGTCAAAAGCACCACAAAATGATTTAACTCGAAGGTAATACTTTCAAAGTCCGTTAGGGGTGAGACTGTTACTGCGCATGTCATCCATTGACAGTGTCCCTTTAAAGTCAAATGCAGTTCCTGGGACAAATGCACTAAATTGGTGTTKTGGCCAAGAGAGTGAAAATCTATTGTTTTTCGCAAGTGCCCAAAATGAAGCTACAGTTGTAATTTGTCTAGAATAAGTACACGTCCTTGAACAAGCAATCTGAAAGTGTGCGAACCTAGAATTTAAGCCATGAATATGAGCGGGAAACCTTTATGGCAAAAACTTCGGMTGCAAGCGAGCACTTTTAAAGCGCACAAAGGTCGAGTGCAAATATTTTATATTGCTTATGCAAATTCTAAAATAAGCTAAATCTTATTTCGCTAAAGACTTAAAATGTTTTAAGAGAAAATTGAAGTTAAAATCGTATGCAAATCAGGACATATCTCTTGCTCATATAAAGATGCGGTCACGGGCAATGGTTTTCCATTGTGTTATTTTTATGAATTATTAACGAATTTGATTCTATACCATATTTTTTCATTTATTGTTTATTCTCCAGTCTACAGACTCAAGGAAGCCAGGAAAAGAAACATACAGCCCCTTAAAACCTTACTWACGAAACCTGGAAATTCCGGCTTCCTTCTCGAGGAAGATGACACAGATAGCGGCATTAGTAGCCATGGTAACACCAATGGATCAGTCTCTTCATCCGACTTCTCCAAAGCTGAATTGATATCTCGCTTATCTTCWGCGTCACTCAAGAATCCTGCKTAYATTAAAGCAAGGATACTMTTTGACTTCAAAACGTCTCGACCGGGYACAGARCTGAGCGTRGAAAAAGGAGAGAATGTCTACTTACTTTATCGCGAGCAGGACAAAGTCCTGGTGATTAACTCTGAAGGGAAAAGGGGTTTTATTCCTTTGAGGTATTGCTCTTTATTAAACAAGAAAAGACCTTCAGCCTCAAGAATTCARAAACAACTCTACAATGATCCTTCGTTTAAGAATTTCTTAACCGGAATGGACCGCATGARCCAGAAAATTATCCCAAGAGCGCGGAACTCAAACTCACGTGGATATGYATCCAACGATCTTCAGCGAGAAAGACCGAACATGTCTTCTTCAAGCGAAGAAGACTCGGATTATAGCTTTCGTGGCACTTCGGAATATTCCGGCGTGACGTCACGGAGTCGGAAATCTCCGGCATTCTTTCATGAGAGACAGAAAACAAGTGCGTCATTTTTCCGAAAAGGTGAAGAAACGAAAATGTCTGTTTTATACGATTTTATTGCAAKAGATGAAAATGATATTAGCGTGTATAAGGGAGAGACTATTACAGTTTTAAACCGTGAAGACGTCGATTGGTGGTGGATAGCAACACCTGAAGGATATGAAGGCTTTGTGCCCAAATCCTACTTAAACTGTCAATCAAGTGATTCATCTGAAGGTACGACATTGCATGCTAAAATACATATGTGACGAAAATTTATATTTCAAGAATAGACCATATGAAAAGAGGGCGTGGCTATCGTAACGCCTTACTTTATAAGATTTCTACTATATCGTTACTACCTGTTGAAAGAACRTATTACAATGAATAAGTTTCAATGCTTTATCATTTAAGGACCAGWAATTACAGTTGTTTGAAATTACAAAGATTTGAATGTACATCAGTATTGACACCTGAGCAGCCTCGTTTTTGCCTTTTTTAGTAAAATTCAACAAATGCTCGTAACTCTGCTGATATCCAACATTTGAAACTAAAACTCCGCCAATTAACTATACTCCAGTTTCGAATTCATAGCGAATAACCGCTGCTTTATTTGACAACAGATTCACTTGCGCAAAGACCTTACAAACACAAAAGAGAGCACGAGAAAATGTCGTTATTACAATAGACTTGAAAATTTGCATTTTCCCCGAGTTGAAATTATCCCTGTATTCCCATAAGACCTAAGGTATGAGCAGGGTTAGCCTCAACTCGGTGAAAATGTAGATTCTTAGCGCTATTGTATTAACAACATTTTCTCGTGCTTTCTTTTGTCTTTGGTAAGTTCTTTGCGTAWTAGAATCTGCTGTCAAGTAAAACAGCGGTTATTCGCTTTGTATTCGAAACTGGAGTATTAGAGATATATTTCTTCTTTCGATGAAAAAATATGTTTAAAAACATATATAGTTTAAATGTGCTCGTTTTTCATATGGTCAATAGCATTTGTGTGAAAATCAGGTATCATTGGAAGTAAGCTTCACAATTCAGAGAAAAGTTAGATTTGAAAAAGCATTCATGATAATTTGTTATCGTCTAAGTGTGACAGGATCAGGTGMAAGAGCCAGTCTTGCAGTCGTTGCCAAAATGCTTGGACCACAAACTTAGGCAATCATGTTGCCTGAAAATTTAGCTGAAAAATAATCGACACTGTCAGCGAAATAAATCACAACTGAGAGTATACATATATATATAAGAGTAGTATACCCCTGTCGTGTGAAGCCTATTGATGAGTTTTGTACTTTTATTTTGCAGCGAGTACGTTATCCAGCAGTATGGAGTCTTCGAGCTCAACATCTGAAGGTAGCAGTACGCAAGTTAGGTTCCAGGACCCTTTATGCACATTTCACCGTTACGAAAAAGAGGAATGGGAATTTACAGACTCGGAAATGCCGAATGATAATGGGTACCACATGGACGAAATAAAGGAAAGTAGAGGCGACGATTCTGAGAAATCAAGGTGGAGCACGTGGTGCTAAATTGTTTGTATRATAATTTAAGTTAATGAAAACTATTTATATCGAAAACTATAAAATAGTCGTATCTTACGATGGGCTTCCTGTGGAGAACATSAACGGGGAGACTGGACACAGACGTTGTCATATATGGATAAAATCCTAATATTCTTACTATAATGATTTTAATGGATCAAAATTTCTATACCTATGAAAATGACATATTTATACAATGAGATGATTTATGATATTCAGCTTTTAAAGCGGGATTTAAAGGGCCATAACTACATTTAGTCCAATTCGCGCTTCTGCTGCTGTTGTTATGTTTTGAAAATAAATTGTAATATTACTAATATAACGATCTGGACGATTTTTGAGTGCAAGTCTATGACGTCCCTACGATATCCGGTRATGAGGTACACTTTGGTAAAGACAGGTGCAAAAGTAAACTTTACCACACTTGTGTATATTCTCGCGCGCTGATTGGCTGATAAGAGTGTGTTTATAAATAAAAGGACATGCACACTGTGCCGACACCATCTCGTCTCACTTCGCTCGTGGGTCCACTTGAGGTTTTAACATTTTATGACGTAAAAAGTGTGCCAATAAGAAGACATACAACCCAAAACTGTGCGCAATTTGTTTGCTGGAACGATGAACAATCATCTTCGTTAAGGTCCTTTTGTGCTATTGTAGATATGTTGTATTTCGTGTTGCATGTGTATCGGGTTAGTGGGGTTGGGACTGTGGTTGAGGTTGCTGTATATGAGAGAAAAAGCTGAGACGCCTATCTACAAAATGCATAATGGTACGTGGATTAAGACAGACGATRTAAAGCTGTTTAAATACAGATCCGAAGCAAAGTGAAAGAAATGGTAAGGCGAATTATATGAAAACTTGATTTAACTTAATGATTGGCTTCGAAAGTAGCTTTCCATGGAACGTTTTGAATTTGTAATGGTGTTCCAGGTTCCGATACCTTAATTAGCTTAGTTTAGCTATTAATCAAAGCGTGGAACTTCTCMACAAGTTCRCCAGAATTACAGTTCGTCTCGCGGCTCCAAAATGCAGGAAAGTTCTCATAKACTTTTGGCTGTGAAGCTTCGTTGTACAGCTTGTTACACAGCATRCACCTCCACGAATGATTTTGCACTTTGTAGCGGCTTTTCCATTGGAAGTACGCGTTGTATGCCGTGTCATTTTTGTCCAGATATGTGATATAGTCTGCTAGAGCCTCTATTGATTGGAAATCCCAGACATTAATATAAGAACCAGGAATAGTATTTCTATCGTTATAATTTGACCCAAATACAATTGGAACCATCTCATGTTCCAGCGGTGTCTCCCAGTATTTTTCRGTCACGTAGTCCTTACATAATGCRTTTTCAAATGACAGGTAAAACTTAAAAGTTCTAAAAGTCTTTGAGCATTCCTTRGTCCCACGCGGACACCCGTATCGAWAATTCTGCTGAAAACGTGAGCTRCATGGTCCAAACACGGTTACATTGATAWACTTCAAGAGTTTTTTAACTATCAGATCCCTTCGGACTCCRCAGTGAGCCACAGCCCATGCTACGAGTTTGTTTTTTCCTTTAGCATAGTTTTTATTGAAGTGTCCCTCGGGAATCTCATTGGGAAGAATCTTTTGGTAGTTATTATAAGGCATATGGACATCYGAATCTGTTCGGTATGTACTAGTCCAGTTGAATATTCCATTAAAGTGAGGAGAGCTGGGCGWGTGYATTGGATTTTCAAGTGATAAATATATCCACCTTTGTGTTTGTGTTCGGAATTGACTTAATAATTTTAAATCGCCGACAATCCCAATGTCATTTGCATGAAAAAYCACAGCATCACTTTCCCCCAACTTTTCACGTGAATAAGTAATCCTACAAGCCTGTGCACAGCGTGAGCCATTATTTTCCTGGAATAACATTTCAGCCTCGAATCCAGGATGAGGCCATGGGGTTCTACCGAAGTATGGTGTATAGAGTAATATGGTTTTTACTTTGTCGTTCCTTTGCACATGTTTTGTATYTGTATTTGAAATATGKAAATTTTTAGGAAATGATKTTGGCTTAGTTCTCGCTATTCTTTTTTCTATTTTCATAAACTTGGTAGATTKTAGSGTTTCTAAGTRGTGCAATGAACTAACTGCAGAAAATTGAGGAGTTTTAATAAGCTTCTTGTGTACATATTCYTTCGATGGAGKGCTTAATGTGGGSGAGGTTCTCCTGGATGTTGGAATATTGCTATCATTTTGCTTCTTGAAACCATTTACCACAGGATTTTCTGGACTAGATTCCCGAAACTTTGCTACAGATTGAATCGATGGCAATTCAATATTTCCTGATAGATGAAGTCTATTAGAAGGCGTCCCCTTGAGAATTTCCTTTTTTAAATGGCGTGGTGGAAAGTAGTCTTGAGTGATATCCCTCGATGGAGGCCATGAACGCTTGACATTCGTTATTTCAATCTTCGTTWGTAAGCAATTTTGTCCATCTGCACAGTTTGTGTTAAGTTTGTGGTCCGTAACAAATTTTATGTACATCGAAATGATAGCCATTTGTGACAAGAGAAAGAGCACAATCCAGAAACGTAGCTTCTTAGACAGCATAGCAGCTGAATTTTGGTACCCTTAACTGAAAAAGTCAACAAGATGAGAGAATTAAAAAATTATATCTATAAAAGTAATTAAATCTATAAGAGTATTTACTACACGTCTGAACAAGGAGAATGCCAAAGATACATTGCACAAGGGAAATCTCGTGACCACGAAATTTTCACAAGAAAATTTTTTTTTGTCCCAGCCAGCCTTTTAAAATCACGGAGAGAAACAGGTTCTAAGAATTTTCCCCAAAACTCTTCACGAACCTTTGCAAAAAGGAAAATTCCGAATGTCTCTTAAATACTCAAGAGCTTTAATGGCCGTAAGAGAGAGTTTTTTCAATTTAAAATTCTAGTTCGAAATCACTTTCCCGGAGAATAATCGTATAAGAACAGTTATTCAGCAGAACAGACCTGGTCGGCTCCTCCTGTTTTCAAAGTCACACTCCAGGTCAGCATTGCCAAACGGCCTGCAGCCCATTTTTAAATTTTGGAAAGGAAAGGTAATTTGACTATTTTTGATAGTCTCACTCATGGTCGCCTACATCGGTAATTTATAGTAAACTTTACAAGTACTTTTGCGCAGTTTGCAAACATAATAAATAAAACTTATGAAAAAAATATCCTCCATTTTGAACCGCCATCTTTGATTTAACCTTGTTAAAAAGCTAACAATTGAGCAAAATTTAATGCAGCATTTAATGAAGTGAGTTTCAAATCATTACTGGTGTCGATTTTAATGAAATTTTCTCTCACTCGAAAACAAATGACCAAAAACTATCCAACCTTCCCCTCCAAATATTTGTGTTGAAAAGAATTCTTGTCGTTTCGTCGTCGATTCAGTGATGATGGAAAACAAAGGAACTCGTACTCAGATGGGTAGAAAATGTATGGTAAAACAAGAAAGTCTTAATAAAGAAGAAACAGAATACTCTCATTTAGAAAAGCCATGTGACAAAAACTGTCTACTATGGAAACATGGATGATGAAGGTAACATGAAATTAACATCAAAATATGCCCAGATTAGAAAAAAAAGTCAAACGTTTCAGTGCAATAGCTGTCTAGKTGCGCTTTCCATTTGTCAGAACTGGCTGGCCAGACCCAGAGAAAATGTCATTATATATTTCCCATTWAGTTAGGAAATTCAAATTTTCAAATTCTATCCATTATTCTACAGAAAACCTCGAAATGACTGAAAAATGTTATACCTCTAAATAGAGTGGACTGGCCGCGGCCAGTTCTGCCTAAATGGAAGAAAGCACCCTAGGTTCCAAAGTTATTGTGAKTTTACGCTAGTGGGGCTATTTGACCCCCACTCCTTGGTTACCTGTGACTCAAATAGATRATATCAGTCAAGCGAACCAACTTAATTATAGCTCAATACTCAGGAGACATTAAATACACAAGAATCAAATTAAGTCAGTTTTTCAATATTCAGATTGTATTTTGTATAAATTAAATAAATAGTAGCCGTTCGCCWAGCGYAARCTATGGCCGTTTTRMAGCATGCGAGCTGCCGTAATTCTGAAAGATTTCTTGTACCCACAAAYGTATYCGTAAGTATTGTTATTTATTCTAGTATCATCGGTCATTTCAGTTGTTGTCTATGTTTTGTAAATAATATATATAATATTGTTCTAATAAACTACTTTCGAATACAGAGTAATACAGTACCGTAATAACTACTCGTGTGACCCTAGTCATACATATGGATAACGAAAATTTRCGACCGTTGTACCTGAGCAGAGGTGCAGGTCTTGACAAGAAAGATTAACAGAATCAATGAGATTAAACAGCTTGAACCCTCGAGGCTTTTKTGGAGYTAGAAACTCTGGAAAGGGAGTATGACAACGCGTTTCAGATGTTCAAAGAAGAGCACGAAAAGCTACAATGCCAACTGGTAGACCCATCTGCTATAGACGAGTCGTTCAAGTATTTTSACGAWGTGTTGYTGGAGTACGCGTCCAAGCGAAGAATACATYCCYGSAAGGCTGATTTGATTGACCCAAARTACTCCATAAGTTCGGCGTCATCGAAAYCTAGATCAAGTAAATCGTCGCGCGAGTCAACAGCTTCAATCARCCTATGTAAAAGCGCTGCCAMACTAGCTGCACTTCAACTGTCGAAGMCGCGTCAATGAATAAAAAATACTAACTCGCCAAAGAAAAGTTRCGCTTGAAGCARCGTGAAGACCAACTGAAACTGGAAACTAGAGCTTCAAWACTAAAAAAGGTCAGCGCTAAAGAGAAAGTCTATCAAGAATTTGAGTTCGATAAGCAAGGCGTCCAAGAATCGACAAGCATTGGACACCAAAATGTGGAGAATTAATACAGTACACGCGACAAATGGGATTCACGTTTGTACGAGAAATCGTTACCACTTACGTTTATGCCCGTACCATGTCCACAAGAGTCGTTTCCACCGATGGAAACAACGGAGCTCAATATGGACCAAAATGACTACAAAGTAACTCCTATTATTCACCAGTCACCTGGTGCAAATCCACGCTGAAGAAGACAAAGCAAAGTGATCAAAGTGTGCTTCAATCTCTAGAGGTCGTGTAGAGATAAGTAGAAAGACTGCACAGCGACTCCCTAAATTTGATTTTATTGCTTTTAATGGTGATCCCTTGGATTAAGTTCTTTTCATGATATCGTTCTAAAACAACTTGAAAAACGCACAGATTGACTCAATGAAAGATTGCAGTTGCTGATCCAGTACTGTACCGGAAAGGCAAAGAACATTAACAAAGGTTGTGGAATGATGAATGCTAAAGAGGGATACAAGACTGCAAATACACTTCTTAAAAGGCATTTTGGTGATAAACATGTGGTTTCCGACGTATGGATCAAAAAGGTCACAGACGGCCCACCTATCGGCATGAATGATAAAGACGTACTTCAAGATCTTGCTGATGACTTACAAAACTGCACCGTTGACTTAAAGCAGCTGGAAGACTGAATGAAATAAACAACGACGATAAGCTTATGAAGATAATTCAAAGATTACCTGTCCATCTACGCACTAGATGGCAATCTCGTGTTAGAGAAATACGCGACAGGAACGAAACGCCAAATATCGAGCATCTTAAAGATTTTATGTCCAAGATAGCAAGAGAGAAAAACGACCCCGTGTTTGGTGGCATTTGGGATCGTGTCCCAAAAAATAGAACAAAGACGTATACTTCCAGTCCTTCTAGTGGCAGCTTCTTCACTTAAGCTCACACAACATGTTTCTATTGTTAAGGACAGCATCGCTTGAATGACTTCCATGTTTATCGTGCGCTTGCTAGCCGAGAGAAATTGAAGTTAGTCCGATCAAAAAAAAAAAAAAAAAAAAAAAATGCGAGAACAGTGTTATTCGACGAGACATTTCTCTGGTGAATGTAAAGTTCCAAATGCATGTGGCGTTCCTGGTTGTGGCGTTGATCAGCACCCGTCGCGAGCGTCAGTCAGCAGTTGCAAGTGAAAATAAAGGGTAAGCGGGATTTCCTTCCTGGCCAGCTTGAGGTAGTGCTCTCGGCAAGCCTGGTGGTGATCCAGTGGGATTCACAGGATCAATAAACCGTTACGTGAATACAGAATCGATTAAAGCTTTACCAATTGTCACAGTTAAAGTAAAGGGTAAAGGCTCAAGAAAGGTTGCTCTCGTGTACGCCCCTCTCGACTTTGGCTCTACATCAGCGTGGTACTCATCCAACCTGTAACATCAACATGGAATATTTGGACGTGACGCAGAGATTCTTCTTAAAATTCAGAAAAGTAACGTTTGCATGTATCTCTACGCAGAGAGTAAGCCTAGAAGTCATGGACATTAATGAGGATGTCATGTTGGAGTTTATCAGAAGTGTATACGAAAGAAGATCTGCATGTCTCTTCAACTAACATACCTACTCAAGAAGATGTCAGATGCTGGCCATACTTGAATGATGTTCATCTAACTTCAGATAAGCTGAAGGTTGAACTGATAATTGGTCAAGATGTACATTCAGAACTAGAGCGTCTGGATGTAAAGAAAAGTGATAACGGAGGAACTTACACAGCGAGAACGTGCTTAGGATGGACAATCAACGGTCCTTTAGGAAGGCGTGGTCTGCCTAAGAGACAAGTCTTCTTTTGTGAGCGAGCCGATAATTTGCAAGAGCAGTTTACGAAGTTCATGAGCTTAGAATTTGTAGATCCTACCGCATGTGGAAAACCGACCATGTCACGGGATGACCAACGTGTAGAAAGATATACGATGATTCAGTTCGCTTGGTGGATGGTCACTACGAGATAGTCACACCTTGGAAGCAGAACGCAGCACATTTACCTGACAAGAACCTCTTGCAGAGCATCGTTTGCGTCTACTTAGTAAGCGTTTACACAAAGATGGAGTTCTAATGGGCAAGTACACAAGTTTATGGATGATCTCTTCAACAAAGGATATGCACAAAGAGTTACAAGAGATTGCCTTGATAGAGATGATGGAAGGGTATGGTACTTGCCTCAACACTCTGTCGTTCATCCGCAGAAACCTGACAAAGTGCGTGTTGTCTTGGATTTTGCAGAAAAATATCGTGCTGTATCATTGAATGATGTTGTTTTGCCAGGTCCTGACTTGACAAGTCACCTAGTTGGCGTGTACTCACGAGATTTAGAGAAGAGCCATTTTGTTTGATGTTTGACATCGAGTCAATGTATTACCAAGTCAAAGCTGGTTCTGATGACATCGAAGCACTGAGGTTCTTATGGTGAATCGAAGACAAATTGAATCCGGCTGACGTAGCATCTAGAGGAGCTTCAGCGAATAAACTGCTACAGAATACGCACTGGTTTATTGGCCCTGACTTCCTATGGACTACTGAACAATTCTGGACAATACAGATCAACACCAAAGGAAGTATTTCTGAAGACGATCCGGAGATTAACACCAAGTCAAGTCTGTCTTTCACTCCTCCCTTCATGGTTCAAGCTGAAGAAGGCCACTGCATGGCTCTTGCGCTACAAAACTTGGCTTATGCTCAGAGTTAGGAAGAAATCAGACCCGCAATTCTTAAATGAAAGTTTCCAAGTCAAAGGAAAACCTGAACGCGAGTTAGTAGCGTGCATACAAAGGCAAAACTTCCAAGCAAGTAAAAGCAACGGAAAAGATCTCAAGTGTAAAAAGATCAAGTAAAATCTTTAAATTGAATCCCATTATGTGTGATAGCGTATTATGCGTTGGCGGCCGCCTTTGATGTTCTCAGCCTAGTTTAAACGCAAGACACCCTATGATACTACCAAAGAACCGCCCAGTTGTTAGTCTTCTTATAAGGCATTATCACAGTGTTTCGGGTGATTCTGGACAGGAACATGTGTTGTCGCTGATAAGAGAGAAATTCTGGATAATCCGAGGAAGACTAAGCGTGCGAAAAGTCTTAAGTTGCTTTGATTGCAGGAAACGACAAAAGAGACCAGAACAGCAGATGATGTCTGATCTGCCTTCAGACMGAGTGACACCAGATAAGCCACCCCTCACGTTTACCGCAGTTGGGTGTTTTGGACCGTTTCTAGTTGAGCRTGGAAGATCCTACGTAAAGCGCTATGGGGTCCTGTTCACGTGTTTAGCGATCCGAGCTTTTCATATTAAAGTTGCCCACAGAATGGATACCTCATCTTTAATAAATGCTTTACGACGATTCATCTCTAGAAGAGGCATGCCAGAAGTAACGCGATCAGTTAATGGGGGAAACGTCAAGGCAGGAAAGAAAGAGATCAGACAACTTATCGACGAATGGAACAAGGAACAGATAGACGACTTCATGCTTCAAAGAAATATCTGCTGGAAGTTCAACCGCCGCTTGCATCGCATATGGGAGGAGCGTGGGAAAGGTGCATACGTACTATGAGAAAGATTCTACTGTGGCAATACTTTTAAAGAACAAGTGATGGACGATGAGGGACTCTCGACCTTGATGTGCGAGGTTGAAGCAATAGTAAATAGCAGGCCTTTAACCAAAATATCTAAAGATCCTGACGATCTAGAAGCACTAATACCAGGCCATTTGCTTCAGCTTAGAAAAGGCCCTAGTCTACACCCTGGAAGATTCCAAGCCCCGACATCTACAGCGTCAAACGATGGAAACACGTCCAGTACATGGCCGATATATTCTGGCGTCGTTGGACCAAAGAATATTTACCATCTCTACAACAGAGAATCCAATGGCAAAGACCTGAAAGAAACTTGAAAAATGGTGATCTGGTATTGTTGGTTCCCAGATTTCCCTGTACCATGGGGAGAGTATTGGAAACAGTGCAAGGAAAGGACAACAAAATACACCAAGTTAAGCTCAAGACATCCAATAATGCCATCGTTTCGAGGCCCATTCACARGTTCTGTGTATTGGAAGAAGTTTAAATTGTATGAAGACTTACTCGTAATAAACTCATAGGACATTGCCCTTAGGGTGGGTGTGTTTTGTACTTTCGTCCCTTGTGTATAACGTAATCAGAGTTTTGTTAATCTTATTTTGTACTTTGGTTAACTTAGCCTTTTTTTTCCTTTTCTATAAAGTTTGTAATGTATTCAGTTTTTCAATATTCAGATTGTATTTTGTATAAATTAAGTAGTAGCCGTTCGCCTAGCGCAAACTATGGCCGTTTTGCAGCATGCGAGCTGCCGTAATTCTGAAAGATTTCTTGTACCCACAAACGTATTCGTAAGTATTGTTAGTTATTCAAGTTTTATCGTTTATTTCAGCTGTTGTATTTGGGCAAAATGTTTTGTAAATAATATATAATATTGTTCTAATAGGAACTAGTCAATAAACTACGTTTGAATACAGAGTAATACAAGTACCGTAATAACTGTTCGTGTGAGCCGAGGCTACCCGTATAAGTAATAACAACTAACTGTGGTTGTATGGTTCTGAGTAAAACGAGAAAAACTTAATTTGAACTTAACTTATTAAAAATATTTTCTGGACTGAGTGCCGTTACCGGAGCGCCATTTAAATGAAGGTTCGATGTTGTTGTTCATTGTTGCTTGTTTTTTATGAATTCCAGTCCACGTGAAAAATAATTTGATCAAATAAATCAATCTTTGTCCCAGTAGTAAACGCCTCTAGCAAATCGATCACTTAATCCGAAAAATGGTTTTAATTTGTAAAGAAGAAATTTGTCAAAAAAGTGATATTTTCTTCAACGTTATGATAGCAGAYCTGAGATTAAAAARCCATGAATAATTTATCAGCGCCTCTTGAACAACAAAAATCGGTATCGTCATGTTTAATCCATTTGTCTGYACAYTGTATATCAGATAAGCTCATTGAACTTTTTGAAAACTTAAGCTAACTTTCGCATACTATATTCCTATACTCGATTTAGACTAACTCTTTCTAAGTAACTAAATCTTCCAAATACTTCGCTGGGTGTCCTTAAAAACGCTACAATTGAAAAGGAGTAATTTTTAATTTAACWGGATGTTTTTTCAAATTAATTATGAACGAGTTTTTTCATATCGCATCTTTGATCAGATAATTAGATATACGGGCATCGTTGAAGCTCTCTTTAGTTTGTGGYTGTCAAATATATTCCTTGCATTCAAATTATAGTAAKTTATAGTTGTGGCTGTGATATTGAAGATTTCTTCCCACATTGAAAAATGATAGTCGATTAAATACGAATTAAAAGCTTATTATGTACTTGTGCTATTAAAGAGTGTTCACACTTTGTAAACTTAACTATACTTCTTTCAAATGTTTTTGAAATGAGAGACGGAGTGAATAGAACAATTTGACATAACCGTTTTTCAGTATTTAACATGCAAATTCGTTGCTACAGTTCAKAATTATGTGGATTTTGTTTTGCGCACTTTTGGCATAAAAGCGTGTTAGACTTTTCAAGAGAGCTATATAAAATTATTGAAAAATACTGATTTTGTCCAAAAATTAAATCAAAGTTAAACTGTTTAATCATCGCTAACTCATATTTATACAAACAGATCAAACGGAGAGGTTTTTGAGAATTCGAAAATTTGCAATCTTACTTTTGATCATTATCAGTCGACAACTAATTTTCATATTAAATACTCGGAAAACAACTTTGTATGCTACTTAAAACGCTTATGTGGTTAAATCGTTCTTGTATAACCGTTTAAAATACCATTCTGAAATGCAAAAATTACAGTCTATGACTTGACTTACCAGCCAGCGCCAAAACGATCGCTATGAGCAATGAATATAAAATGGTGTATTTAACTGTGTTCGATGTTATGGCAGCAGGTCTGTGCACTGCGGTTGGTCCAAATGTTCAAGAGMACTTGCTGGAGTCTGGAGAGGGTAGAATGAAAAGGAGACGGTTATTACATTGGAACATGGGTGATCCAGTGGAAGGCACTGGCCTATCACCGCCGAGGGCCTGGTTTATTTCACAATCCGGCCGGGCAATATTTATATATATTTTGTAAGCAGGCTCGTCTCTCACTAGTGCTCTGGTTTTCCTTCCCCCACAGACTRGTTTCGCAGAGTGCCGTTTACAAAGCAAAATTAATGTTCAATTAATGCATGTGCCAGAGACTGTCATTAAGAATTTAATTTTGTTTGATGTTGATCTCTCTTTTCCATCGGAAATAACATGATCGTTGACAGCGTATCGGTTGCCACGCATAGTC